TTGGGTTTTTGCTTTAAAAATTTGTTATCCACTATCCTCTCTCTGCTTGCTGGGGGACTGAGTGCTTTCCCAGCCCTTAAGCTAGAGGTGTTTGCACTTCTTGTTTCACATCCTCATTAGAGGTTTGTATTCAATCTGTGCTAAGTGGAAAAAAGAAAGGATCTGAAACCACTGGATCAGAGAAGCCCTTTCCCTGCCAGTTGCACATGTTCAGTTCCTTGCCAGCATATATCTAGGTTTCAGGCTGTGCAGAGAGTCAAAACAGACCAAGGGAGACAAAAATTCACATTGAAAAAGGAATTCACCCCATCTCCAGGCTGCCCACACCTCTGCAGTGGGAGTACTTTCACCCACTGGAGCGAGGAGCAGCTCGGGGCAGCGGCTGCCCCGATGGCAAGGCTGGAGGTGGCCCAGGGGCTGCAGGGCATCACGGGGCATCGTGCTGCAGCACTGTCACTGTGGTGATCCTGCTCCTGCACCTGCTTGGGTCCCGCCTAAAACACCCCCTGGGAGATCTCAGCTCCCCCTTAAACTACATCCTGAGGTACTCACCACTCACCCCAGGAAGTGTTACCCTCCACCAACACAGAGATGCTGAGGTCGCGTGGGGTGGGAACACCAGCTCAGTGTTGGGGTTCTTCCAGAAAGCCAAACGCCTCCTGATGCGGAGAGCATCTACAGAGGCAGGTTTTGCTTTGGGTCCCCTGACTAAGCCCCTGTGTCTTTCTCTCTTGTGCTTCACAGTGAAGGATTTGGACACCGAAAAGTACTTCCACTTGGTAAGTACCCTGCTCCCGGCTGCAGGGGCAGGGGGCTGGGGGTCACTCTCCCCTCCTGCCCTCCCAGAGGAGTGCCTCTGGGGAGCAGAGCTGTCACCCCAGGACGCCTGCGCTGCAGCACAGCACCGGCATCCCAGGGGATGGGTCACAGCAGCAGCTCCACTCCCCAGATCCCTCCTGCTGCTGTGCCAGTGGGGACACCGGTGGGGTGTGGGCAGGCAGCATGGCCCAGGCCAGGGGGCCAGTGGGATGCTGGAGGAAGGCTCCTTGCAGCAGCAAAGGGGTGCCCTTCTAATCTCCTGTGTATTTCAACATCCTTCACCTTTACGAGGCTGCCCGTTAGCCAACAGTGGAAGCCGTTGCTTTTGTCCCTGCAAACGGGCAGCCTCTGGCCCGTGTGGCACTGGGGCAGGCAGGCCGGGGCTGTGGCAAGCCCTCAGCAGGCAGGGGGGCCAGGTTGGCCTCTGCTGTCCAGCTGGCTGTCAGGGATAGGTACCCCCGGGAGGCAGCAGCCTGGAAAGCACTGGGAGCAAAGAGGTGACTAGTCAGGCTGCATGTGCGCAGCCATCCCTCGTCTCTCCTGTGCTTAGGTCTCTGGGTCCTGTTCTTTCAGTGGATGTGATGAAAGAGGAGAAAATCTTCTCAGCCTTGCTGATATTAACTTAATTCATCTCTGTGGGCTGGGATGTCAGATGTGATGAACAAGCTGGATCAGGGCTCGTTAGTTTTCTTCAGAGAGGCTCAAAGAGGCGCAGAAAGGTTATCTGTAGACAAGCTTTACTACTATGGGATGTAATAAAAAAATACCAGGATGGCAAAGTAATTGTTGTGCCTGATCTAGCTGTCAGCAACCACAGAGAGTTCAGGAGCATGGTCAGAGCACGCCACACAGCCTTGGTCAAGTCACCTTCCAGGAGCTCCTGGCATGCTGCCTGCTTCCCAGGGCTGGGGAGATTTATTAGTTCCTGCTTGTGTGCTGCACTGGAAGTACGAAGTGCTAAACATTGCTAAAAGCTGTTATGAAAAAATGTGTTATGGACAACAACAGTATTTTATAGCCTGTTTTCTTTTTTTCCTCTGCTAAAGTTTCCGTGCAGAGTTACAAACACACAAGGCATGCGTGCACGTGCACGCACGCACACATACACGAGGAGCAAGGAGGAAGAAGAGATGGGAAACTGTGCAGATGTGAAACAATGCCAAAATGGGCTGAAATGGCTTGCTGGGTCATTACAGAACAGTAATTAACTGACCTACCAGTGGAATATTTATTTTTGTTTTTAAAAAGGCCAGGCTAGGAATATTGGCTGATCGTTCTTGCACTTTGTCCAAACCTAAGAAAAGCTGGTTTCCACAGAAGCCTTGTGCATTGCTCCTGGGAGCCTGAACTGCAGGCACACAGGAGTACTGCATGGAGACCAGGAAGGCGAGCAGACTAACATGCAAAGTGAGATTGATTGTTTCATTTTCTTTGTCTAGCTTGAGAGAGGCAATAAAGAGTGCAAGAGAAACAAAAGTCAGAAAAACTGACTATTATGAATCACTTTTTTAAAGCCATATAAGGGTTTATGTATAACACAGTAACTGCTTTATAATTGAATTTTATATGCACTTGAAATTCTATACTTATAGGAAAATTCAGTGTGACAGTTGCAGAGAGGAGTGCTCTGAACATGTGTTTTATATCGGACCAGGTTCTCCCAACCGATGAGTCGGTTGAACACAAGAAGTCCCACAGACAGAGCCATAGGAAGAAAGTCCTACCGGAGATCTACCTGACCAGGCTACTCTCTACAAAGGTAGGAGACGGGACACCTGCGTTGGTGGCAGGTGGGATTGCTGTTTGTGGTCAGTAGCGAGAACCCTGCTCTAGGGAAGGAGCGCTGCGAGGCCGGTCGCTCTTGGGAGGCAGTGGGACTCTTCTGTCCTGGACGGCTGGAGCTGTTTAGTGAGACTGCCAGGCACCACTGGCTCCTTGGCTTCCCTCCAGCTTCCCAGCTCGCACTCTGAGCAGCAGTGCTGCTGCCTGAAGCCCCACACGATCTCTGTGGGCTGGTCAGGGGTCTGTGCACATGAAAGGGATGCTGACCGCCTCAGGGCTCATGATGCACAGTTTAGAGTGAACCCATCTCCCCAGCAAGAGATCCTGCTGGGAAATGAGATGGAGATGTGAAGCTCTGGGAAGAGGGGGAATGTCTGTGCGATCTTAATTCAGATTTGAACTTCCCCACTCCCTGCGAGTGCTTAGCTCCAGCAATTGGGCTCCCAGCCCATCTTTAATCCCAGCATGATGCCTCACTGGAGCAGAGATCACAAGAATGGCCGGCAGTCTCCAGTCTTCTTTGTATTCACTGTGCAGAACAATCACAGATGTGAGATCCTAGCACTAAGAAACAAAATCTATGCCAAAAGAAATTAAACCCAAATGCAAGCTAATTATATCGCTATGCACAAACAAACCTTTCCCTCCCTGCTTCGGCATCCCCTTCTGATCAATCCAACTGGCAGCAAAGGATTTCCCCTTGTGTGCAGCAGTCACGGCCCCTCACACGGTTTCCCTGGGCTTGGGTGCTGGTGCTTTCCCCAGTCTGCATCGTGTGCGCTTGTCCCGCAGGGCACGCTGCAGAAGTTCCTGGATGACTTGTTCAAAGCCATTCTCAGTATCCGAGATGATAAACCACCTGTGGCCGTGAAGTATTTCTTTGACTTCCTAGAGGAACAAGCAGAGAAAAGAGGGATCACAGACCCCGACACTATGCACATCTGGAAGACCAACAGGTTTGGAAGAGAAAATCTCTTCTTTCCTTCCTTCAGTCTCTCAGGCAGGGCAGCTGCAAAGCCTTGGTGGCCTGGACTAATGGTTAGGTTGCCAGAAGTGGAAGAGGAACTTGGAAAATAGGAGAGGTGGTCGAGGGGTTGGCGGAAGATGAATCCAAACACAGGCTTGGAGAGGTTTGAACAAACACAGGGCTCAGGGGAGTGGCAGGCTGAGAGATGAGGTACAGGCAGATGAAGGGCAGAACAAGCTGGCACACAATACAGATAACCGAAGGAGAAACAGAAGAGGGACGACGGGAGACGGCAGTGGTGTTAGCTCCGAGCACTGGAGATCTGAGACAGTCCAAAATCATGTCAGGTCTTAAAACATCATGGAGATTTTTAAAGCAGCCTATTTGGCTCCTTTTCATTTGCTTTCTGGCTTTTCAGCCCTTGGGGGCACTTTCTCCACTTACCTCTGTAAGCAAGCTGAGACTCCGGGGTGTTCACAGGTCTCCAGGAGCTGGTGCTGCGACTGTAGTGTGCTGGCGGGCAGCGCAGTGCTGGGGACCAGCGGGGAGCAGTGCTGAGGGATGGGATGAGCAGCAGTAATGGGGCAGGACGGCCAAAGTAAAGGGGGGAAATAGGGGAGAGAACAGAAGATTTGACCTGGGAGAGCAGGAAGCTTGGAGGGAGCGTCGAGGAGAGGCTCAGCTCTTCTGAGGCTGCAGGGACAGTAACGTGACCATGAAAACCAAATTTGGCTGGGATAGCAGGCGAGCAGGCACAGCCATTGAGCTACACATTTGCCTAGCCTTCGTTACCTTTAATTGCCAGTAGAGCAAAGACTTACAGAGGCTTTCACTCCTCAGCGGCTGAGAAGGGATGGTAGGAAGGGCGAGCGAGATACTGAAACTGCGTTGTGATGAAATAAGCAGTGAAATAACTGGAGGAGAAGCTGATGAGAGAGCAGGAAAAAAGGCACATGAAATGCATTTCATGGGGCCAGGCTTACCATCAGAACCAGATGACGGTTACTGTCGGGGAAGAAGGAAAAGCAGCTGACACCATTGCTACACAAATCAGCAAGTGGGGAAGCCGGATTCACGAGCCCAGCCCTGCCAGCGGTTCGGGGGGCTGCTGAAGGAGCAGGGGCATACGCTGTACGTGAAGGCTGTCTGTGCTGTGTGCTTCAGCCTGAAGCTTCATCTCGTCACGATGAAGCCCTGTGCCTGCCCATCTAGCTAGGTAGAGGACCATTCGCTACCAGGATGGGATTAAATAGCAGGCTCTGGCTCCTCATTTTTTTTTTCCTCTCTACTATTCACTCTCTATTGCAATCCTTCCTGCATTCCGCCCCCCCCGCCC